CTCCGTGCTCCCCCCTCCCCAGCCACTCGTCCCTTGTCCCCCCTGGGGCTGGGGCACCAGCAGGCCTGGCACAGCCCCCAGCCCTCCCCAGGTCTGGGTGGCCAGGTGGGGCCTGTCTCACCTGCTCAGGATGGCATGTTTGGCCTGGTTCCTGGCCCTGGCTGGGTCTTCACCACCCAGGGTGGAGATGAATCCATCCATCAGCACCACACACTGCTTAAAACTTCTTGCTGGCATCTCCATCAGCTTGTCCCAGTTTCCCTCTGCATCCCTGGAGCTGAGCCCCTGCTAAGGGCCTCACTCAAAGCTGGATGACACCCCGCTGTGACAAGCACCCCCTGGCTGCCTGGGTGCTGCTTCTCTGAGGCTGTTCTGCTGGTGGGTTCAGCTGGTTACTCAGAGCACCCATGAGGAGCTTGTGGCACCACGGGTCTGGCAGCAGGCCTGGCACAGGCTGCACGTGGTCAACCAAGCCTGGAGCTGAGGCTGGGCCAAGTCCAAGGTTGCTCAGGAGGTGGGCAGCACCTCAGCCCTCTTGTGGGTCACACTCCAGCCACCCCACAGCCATCTGGAAGGCTGTGGCTGCACAGGGTGTCTGCAGGCCACCATCCATCAGCAGCTCATTGGGCTCACTGAAGGGGTTTCACCATCTCATCCTGTCTTCATCATGTCTCATCAGTCTTGGAGAACTCCAGGAAGTTCTGGATGAACTTGATTGGCAGAATCAGAACAGGACCTGGGGAGACAGCAGAGAAGCCTTGGAGCAGGGGTGCAGGTGTCTTTCTGCTCTGTAAGACTTTCAGTTGAGGAAGAACTCCCATGGACTCCTCAACTCTGTGGGTCAGGTCAAGGGAAGGGTGGAAACTGCCCCCTGAGCCCTGTGCCCCTCCAGGCAGCACTGAAGGCACCAAGGACCATGACTGCAAAAGGAGATCCTCAACCAGTGCCAGCACCTCTGCTGTGTTAGGAGTTTTGGGTGGTATCCTTGGGGAGCTGGGAGCACCCACTGGTCTGGGTGTGGGGCCAGCTCTGGTCTGGGGGGTGACACAGGCTGCAGGGTGTGTTCTGTCTGACTCAGGCACACGTCAGATGGGGTGAATCTGAGCCCAGCAGCTCTGACAGAGGCTCTCACACAGCAGCGAGCAGAGATGAACCCCAGCACTGTGGGATGGCATAAAAAAAAGGGTCTTTATTTCCCCCTCAGCCCCTCGGGCACTGCTGGGCAGCCAGTGGGGCCAGCAGCCCTTTGGGGTGACCAGTTCAGTGTGCAGCTGAAAGGAGAAAAAAACCCAACAACAAAAATCCAGATTTGGAACGTTCCCAAATTCCAGTTTAAAACTGCAGTCTGGGTCTGAGCTGTGACCTCAGCTCTTCTGAGGGAGCTTAGAGCAGTCAGTACCTGAGGGGGCAGATCTGCAGGCCAGGAATAGCTGTCCCTGCTCTCACAGGTCTGGGTGCTGTTTGTTATGCTTGGCCACAAAGATCAGGTTTCCTGGAACTGAGTAATCAGCTCATATTTAGCACCAGGCAGAGAAGAAGAGGGGCATTGAGACCAGCAAAAATACAGAACAGGGAAAAGTTTACTACAAGTCTCTGCCAGGAGGATTCAGGGCTGAGTCTGAGGGGGAGAGCAGCAGTGCCCACCCAAGGGCCACACAGGAGCCAAGAGGATCAGGAGCAAAGTCCCAGCACTTGAGCCCTCCCTGGCATCGTGGTGGCCCAGGGGGCTGCCCCCATTGACACTGCTGAGAGCTGGGAGAGGTCCTGGAGCCCTCCCTGGCACCGTGGTGTGGCTGTGAAATGGTTTCTGACACCCAGCTCAGGAGTGGGGACAGGAGCTGGATTCACCCCTTCAGAGCCACAACACTTGGAGGTTCCCAAACGTGTTAGTTCAGGCTATCCATCCCCCAGGAAGACCTGCAGTTGTGGCTTTTCAGCTGGATTTCAAGGAAAAATACAAATTCAATACTGGAATTCCTTAGGAGATGAAAAATCTCTTTCCAGGCCTCCCCTCCAGACCCCTCTGACCTGCATCTGCTCAGGACTGGCCCTGGAGGGGGGTGCCCATCCTGCTGCCCCCACGCTGAGACTGGTCCCAGCAGGATGGGTTTGGCCTTGTGAAATGAGTGATCTGGGTATCAGCTCCCATCAGGCTCAGAGGAGCATCTGCCCAATCCCTTCTGCTCCCCAGGCTGCCTTGATTTTGGCCTTTTTCTCCAGAAACAAGCAGTGTGCCGTGAGGGACTGTCTATAAAACTGCTCACCCCCCTCTTAGGGCCTCCAGACCCCATGTTAGGGGGGTGACACCAGCCCTCAGCAGCTCCTGGGGGCCTGGTGTGGAGCTCAGCATCCCAGCTGGGCAAGCTGATCCCCAAAAGCCACCTGAACTCCCTCTGGAAAGCCCAGCAATGCAGCAGCCTTCCTCCATCCCCGTCCACCCCACCCAGGAGTCAAGAGGGGAGGTTGTTCTGGGATAACACACAGGTCTTCTAACTGCCTTGTGCTTCACACAGCTACAGCAGAGCCCTGGGAAGTTTGGGGCT